AGTTGCTTAGGGCCTTGTTAAATTACTGAGGCTAGCCTTAAACTTCAGATCCTTCTGCCTTGGCCTCTCTAGACATTAGGATTACAGGTATGATTCACTGAATTCTGCAGAAATTAATCTAATACAAGTTTATTAAGTATCCCTGGGAGAATTAATTGAAAATCTCAAAGGATTTTCAATTAATGCGTATATGGATTCATTTTGACATGATTTAAATCATAACTACCATGATTGTCCCAGAATAAAACTAGCCAGTTTTTCCTGTATAGTTTCCCAGCAAACTATAAATAGATAAAACCATTAGAGTGGCATGTAGAATTTTACAACATGACCCTGAATCCAGAGATATGCCCTGCTCTTTTATATCAGCTTACGATAAACCAAGTACATTCCAGCTAGATTGAAGTCACTTTTGTCCTAACCCATAAATATTACCCTTTCTGACCTAAATTGCAGGGATTCAACTATACTGTCTAGGACCATCCTTCCATCAGTAAATCCTTCTATAAATTGCATAATCCTAGATCTGTCTGCCTCTCTTTCTTTGATTGCAAGGCATCTTCAGGCTGGTCCTCACACACTGAACTGGGTTGTTCTGGAACAATTGAATATTCTTTAATGGACCTTTTGAAGATGACTTTCAAAAACAACATATATCAGGGAAATGTAACTTGCAAAATTATAAAGTATTTTCCTTTGAAAAGATGTGGGTTTGGGATGAATTGGAGTACATACAAGGAGTAGGGGCCTGTGGATATAGGTCAGTGGTAGAGCACTTGCCTAGCATGCGCAAGGCCCTTATTCGGTCTCAAACAGTGCTAATTGAAAAAGGGTGGGGCTTTAACTTTATAATATCTTGTTTCTTTTTTTAAATATTATTTTTAGTTGTTGATAGACCTTTATTTTTTATTTTTTAAAGAGAGAGAGAGAGAGAGAGAGAGAGGAGAGAAAGAATTTTAATATTTATTTTTTTAGTTTTCGGCAGACACAACATCTTTGTTTGTATGTGGTACTGAGGATCGAACCCGGGCCGCACGCATGCCAGGCAAGCACAATACCGCTTGAGCCACATCCCCAGCCCAATAGACCTTTATTTTATTTATTTACATGCGGTGCTGAGAATCGAATCCAGTGCCTCACTCACGCCAGGCAAGTGCTCTACTGCTGAGCCCCAGCCCCAGCCCCATATTTTGTTTCTTTTAAAGAACAGAAATTTAGATGGTGATTCTTAAAATCGATCTTTCAGAGTTGTTGGATTATGTGATGTTAAATAAGAAAGTACCTGACTCTTTAAAAATATTCATTAAACAATGTGTCGAGATGCATTCTACTGCCATGTGTAACTGATTGGAAAAAATTTTTTTAAAAATAGAAGGGAGACTTAGAAGAGAAGAAGGGGAACAGGGGGAGGAAGGGGAGGGAAAGGGGAAGGACTAGGAATGAAACTGATCAAATTATACTGTTCTATTGTGTGAGTGTATGTGTATATTATAACAAATAAAAATAGAAACAAAAAATAAAATATTAAATGTTTGCTGTTATTACTAGCGTTGGGTTAAGGGTAAAAAACAAAGTTACTATTTTTAAATATCTCTAAAAAGGATAACTTAATTTTTTTTTTAAATAGTCTTATAGGTGGGTATGGTGGCTCATACCTTTATTCCCAGATACTTGGAAGGTTAAGGCAGTACAATCACATGATCACAAATTTGAGGTTATCGAGGACAACACAGTGAGACCCTGTCTCAAAAAGGGCTAGAGATGTAACTCAGAGGTATCGTGCTCCTGGTTTCAATCCCCAGGAGCTCAGTGATAGGGTGCCCTTGGGTTCAATCTCCAAAAAGGAAGGAAGGAAAGGACGGAGAGAGGGAAGAGGGAGGGAGGGAGGGAGGGGGAAGAAAGAGGGAAAAGAAAGAAAAGAAAAACATCAAGTGGCTATGTTGCAATGATACAAAAATCTTAGATGGAAATAAAAATGATTTACCTGGGAAACTATTAGATCACTTGCTGTAGCTTTGATGATAACAGATATGGAAAGATTACATAAAATTAGTTTTGTGAAATGTATGATTCAAAAAATGGGAATATTCTGCCAAGTGTAGTGGCAAACACCTATAATCCCAGCAATTTAGCAAGACTATGTCTCAAGGGCTGGGGATGTGGCTCAAGCGGTAGTGCGCTCGCCTGGCATGCGTGCAGCCCAGGTTCGATTCTCAGCACCACATACAAACAAAGATGTTGATAACTGAAAAATAAATATTAAAAAATTCTCTCTCTTAAAAAAAAAAGACTATGTCTCAAGAAATTAAAAAGAATTAGGAATGTGGCTCAGAGGTAACGCACCCCAGGGTTCAGTCCCCAATACTTCCCAGACACCCACCCAGAGAAAGGATATTTCAAAATTCTTTTGTTTGCTTTTGCAATGCTAGGGATTAAACTGGGGCCTCACATACTAGGGAAGCATGCTACACTTCTGAGCTATGCCCTCCAACCCCAAAGTCATCTGGGGATGTGTACCAGGGATTGAACTCAGGGGCATTCAACCACTGAGCCACATCCCCAGCCCTATTTTGTATTTTATTTAGAGACGGGGTCTCACTGAGTTGCTTAGTGCTTCACTTTTGCTGAGACTGGCTTTGAACTCTATATCCTCCTGTCTCAGCCTCCTGAGCTGCTGGGGTTACAGGTGTGGGCCACCATGCCTGGCCCAAAGTCATTTTTTATATAAAGTCATTGCAAAGACATGACTTGTGTTAAAAGACAAAATTATGCCAGTCACAGTGGCACACACCTGTAATCAAAGCAGCCTGGGAGGCTGAGGCAGAAGAATCCCAAGTTTAAAGCCAGCCTCAGCAATTCAGTGAGGCCCTATGCAACTTAGGGAGACTCTGTCTAAAAATAAAAATAAAAAGGATAGGGATGTTGCTCAGTGGTTAAGCGCCCCCCGAGTTCAATCCCTGGTACCAAAAGAAAAATAAATGACAAAATAAAAATAAATCTATTTTTGTAGATAGAGATAGCCCAGTTGGATTAGCTCCCATCTGCCTAATTTGAACATAGTTTGAACAATTGATAACTTGTGATTGGCTTAGACCTAGGTACTTGTTGCAAGAGTAGATTATATCATTAGGTTATAATTCATTATGTATAGAGAAACCAGGCCAAACTTAAAATATGACAGAGAGACACCCAGGGGTGCTTAACCACTGAGCAACATCCCCAGCCTTTTTTCATATTTTATTTAGAGACAGGGTCTCACTGAGCTGCCCAGGGCCTCTCTAAATTGATGAGGCTGACTTTTTTTTTTTTTTTTTAAAGAGAGTGAGAGAGAGAGAATTTTAATATTTATTTTTTAGTATTTGGCGGACACAACATCTTTGTTGGTATGTGGTGCTGAGGATCCAACCCGGGCCCCATGCATGCCAGGCGAGCACGCTACCGCTTGAGCCACATCCCCAGCCCCTGAGGCTGACTTTGAACTCCAGATCCTCCTGTCTCAGCCTCTCCAGCTGCTAAGATTATAGGCGTGTGCCACCCCACCCAACAGAGACAGCTTTTTTTTAAATATTTTTTTTTTAGTCGTAGATGGGCACAATACCTTTATTTTTTAATTTATGTTTATGTGGTGCTGAGGATCGATCAAATCCAGTGCCCCACACGTGCCAGATGACTGTGCTACCACTGGGCCACAAACCCAGGCCCCAGAGACAGCTTTTGACCATAGTTTTTTTGTTCTTTCCCTCCTTCTTTCCCTCCCTTTTTTACTTTCCTTCATTTCTTTCTTTCCTACTAGGGATTGAAAATCCAAGGGTGCTCTACCATCTACATCCCCAGCCCTTTGTATGTATTTATTTATTTTTTTAATTTTTAAAATTTTTTTAAATATTTATTTATTTATTTTTTAGTTTTCGGCAGACACAACATCTTTCTTTGTATGTGGTGCTGAGGATCAAACCCAGGCCACACACATGCCAGGCGAGCGAGCTACCGCTTGAGCCACATCCCTAGCCCCATATGTATTTATTTCTGAAACAAGTATTGCTAAGTTTCCCAGGCTGACCTTGAATTTGTAGTCCTCCTACCTCAGCCTTCTAAGTTGCTGAGGATGTAGGCATGCAGTATTGCACCTAGCTAACACACACTACTTTTTTTTCTTTTGTACTGGGATTGAACCCAAGGGGTATTTTACCACTGAGCTTCATCCCCAAGCCTTTTTATTTTTCATTTTGAGACAGGGTCTCACTAAGTTACTGAGGGCCTCACTAAATTGCTGAGGCCAGCCTCAAACTTGTGATCCTCCTGCCTCAGCCTCCTGAGTCACTGAGATTACAGGTGTACACCACTGCCCCCAGTGAACACTTGCATTTTTAAAAAACACATATGAAAGGGATGAGGATATGGCTTGCCTAGTATGTATAAGGCTATGGGCTCAATCCTTAGTACTGCAAAATAAATAAATATGTAAATAAAAAATAAATGAACCAAAGCTGGAGTTTTGGCTCAGTGGAGGACCGCTTGCCTAGCGTGTGAGGCACTGGGTTCGATCCTTAGCACCACATAAAAATAAACTAATAAAATAAAGGCATGCTTTCCATCTGTAAGTACAAAAAAATTTTTAATGAATGAATGTTAATTTTTGAGTTTAACATATGTAAACATTTATTTTAAATTTTGATGATTCATTATATAGTAAAATATCTTGATTTGAATATATTATACTAATTAGCTATAGTTACTGATCCCTATAAATAATTTGATACATAGGTATAATTGGTTAATAACCATTAGGACAATATGATAGGACAGATTCTAATTGTCCTCATTTTTTATTTAAATATTAGGCTAATTAAAGACCTTGAAGAGCATTAAAGAGTTTTATAATCTGCTAATATACTATGGTTGAATAGTAGTATAATCCTCTAATGGAACTTTTTAAATTAAATAGGCATAATTTAAGTAACAGAGTATCCAATAGGAATAAAAAAGTGTTTTGCTTTCAGGTATAAAAGGAAGAGAATATCTCCTGGACCTGATTGCCACATTGCTGGTACTACAGTTTCTTCGCACCAGGTTGGAACAAGAGGGAATAGTTTTCAAATCTCTGATGAAGCTGGATGATCCTTCCATTTCCAGGTGTGTGTTAGTCAGCTTTCTGTCACTGTGACATATAACTGAAAAATTCAACTTAAGGGAGGAAAGATGTACTTTGGCTTATGAGTTCAGAGGTTTCAGTCCATGATCACTTGACTCTTTTGTTTCTGGGGCCTGTGCTGAAGCAGAGCACCATGGCAGGGAACATGTAGTAGAACAAAGATACTCACCTCATGGTGGCCAGGACACAGAGGAAGTAGCCAGGTACAACATATTCCCTTTAAGGGCATATCCCTGGTTAGGTACTTTCTCCAACTAGGCCCCACCTCCTTGTTTCTATGACTTCCTAATGTCCCATTAGGTAACGAATCCATAAATGGGTCAATCCATTCATAAAGTCAGAGCTCTCATGATCTAGTCACCTGTCAAAGGCTGTACCTTTGAACATTGCTGCATAGGGGATCATTCCTTCACATGAGTTTTGGGGGATATTTAAGATCCAAACTATAAACACTGATGGTTTTTACTATAGTAATAAGCAACTCACTTGTATTTTCAACCATTTTTTAGATAAACCTTACAAAAAACTACATGGAATTATCTTATATGTATGTACTACTTTGTAAGTATAAAGAGAATTTGTTCACAGGTGACAGCTTGCCCACAAGTTCCTGTGGTAGGCAGGGCTGACATGGTATTTTGCCTTAGGCTGCACAGGAAAAAGTCTCAGAGAGTATAGCTTAAACTGGAACTCAGATCTTCTGGATTCTGATTTGGTACTCTTAACTTAGTATGTTGATCCTGTATGCCTTTGGAATATCATAAATGATTGTTGGAACCAGGTCCAGTTGGTTCTTCTATTTAGGTCTTTTCCAACAATTGACAGATATTAGTTAATAACTTGAACTTTTTTTTTTTAGTTGAGGATTTTGCTGTATGCCCAGGCCAATCTTTATGTATGATGTATGTATGTGTGTGTGTGTATATATATATATATATTTTTTTTTTAGTTGTTGATGAATGTTTACTTTATTCATTTATTTATATGTAGTGCTAAGAATCGACCCAGTGCCTTGCACATAAGAGGCAAGCACTTTACCAGTGAGCCACAACCCCAGCTCTGCCCGGGCTAATCTTGTACTCCCAGGCTCAAGAGATCCTACTACCTCAGTCTCCTGAGTAGCTTGGGACCACAGGCACACACACCATCATAGCCAACTCTGAACCAACTTTTGAATTGTAATATCAATTTTCAAAATTGATGAAATGTATTCCATCACATTATGCTTTACTATATCATATTGTGAAAGCAAGATGTTTTATTGGCACTTTAATAAATAAAACTATTGTAAATAGTTAAAATATTTGTTTATTGCATATTGTAAACTTTTTTCCTACTTTTCTAGTTCAGACATACCTAACATTAATGTACTAGTACATTACATGGGAGGATATCAACAAGATTTTCTTACTAATGGAATGGCTGATTAAAAAAAAGTTTAGAGGCCATGGGCTGGGGATGTAGCTTAACATAGAATGTGTGCTTAACACATGCGAGACCCTGAGTCCAGTTGCCAGCACACACACAAAATTTGCCAGTTTGGTTTCCTAAAGAACTCAGAATGTCATAATACCTTTCTCAGCTCTGGCAGGAAACATTTGTTTGTTTCTTGCCTGATAGAGGTGGTGCAGGGGTGGACTGTCTTAAAATTTCTGATTGAAATCATCCAGCTCTCACTCTGCCTGGCTATGTAAATAGACCATACTAAATTGAAAAGGGGGAATAAGAGTTATTACTGCTGTTTGGAAATACCTGCCTCTTGTAGATCCAGATTTAAGTTTTTCTGGCATCCTAGTAAAAGCAGACCTTGCAAAAAATGAATATCATAGTTAATGCTGTGAGGAGCATTTCATAACAATGAAAATGGTTTTAACAAAAAAAATATCATAATGTCTGCATTTTACCATTGATTTGAGAAAACTGAATATAACAGGAAATTTTTGGAACTTATGTGCTCTTTGGCAACTTCGGATGATTTTTTTTTTTTTAAGTGCTTGGGATTGAACCCAGGTCCTTGAGTATGCTAATGTGCTGTACTACTAAACTAATCCCCAGCTCATTTGTTTGTTTGTTGCACTAGGGTTTGAACTGAGGGGTGCTTTACCACTGAGATACATCCTCAGTACAAAAAAAAAAGAATGAAACAGAACAAATATAGAGAGGCTAGAAGAAGCAGCTTGAGTGGGCAGCAAAAACTCCTGAAGGACACAGTGGGAGTTGGGGAGTGATGGGAGCAGTAGATTTGAAAATGTACTGAATTACCTCAAATCCCCATGTCATTACTGGGAGAAGAACTCTCCTAAGATCTCAAAGAGAAATGCTTTTATTAAATATCTTAAATTTTGACAGAATCATTTTGTTTGATATAAGGTGAAGGATTTATTACCACATTATATTTCACTTGTAATTATGTTCTGAAATTGATGGAAACATTTACTATTTTTTTAATCTAGGAATATTCCCTGGGATTTTGAGAAAATAAGAAAAGCAAGTGAATGGGTCAGAAGAATGGAAGGACAGTATTCATCTATCTGCCAACGGCTTGAACTGGGAAAAGACTGGGACTCAGCCACTAAGCAACTCCTGGGAATTCAACTACCAGCTACCACTTCTCTTAACACAGTTCTTTATTACAGTCAAGGCTGAATCCAATGAAATTGTATTTTTTTTTTAACTTTACTCACATTTCTATGTCAAAAATAATCAAATATTAACAGGTACCTGTTAGGACATTTAATTATGACTTTATTCAGTATAGCAATCAATCCCTTTTAAGTAAATGGAAGCAAAATTGATCATTTTAACCAACTAACAAGCAATAATAAAATGAAAATTACAATGTTAGAATTGTATTTGTTTCAATGTTTTAAGGTGATGAAAGATGTTTTTTGTTTGATTTGGTTTGGATTTTTTTGGGGGGGCGGTGTTCAGGAGTAACCAGGGATTGAACCAAGGGGCACTTAACCACCAAGCCACATCCTCAGCCCTTTTTATTTTTTATTTTGAGACAGGGTCTCGTCAAGTTGCTTAGGACTTCACTATTTTGCTCAGGCTGATCTTGAACTTGTGTCTCAAGCAATTTTTCCATGGATGATTTTCTTTTTGGTGTTGCATCCTAAAAACCCATTGCCAACTCCAAGATCATCTAGATTTCTGCTATTTTCTAGAAGTTTTCTGGTTTGCATTTTTTAAATTTTATTTTACCTTATCTTATGGTACTTGAGTTTAAACACAGGGGTGCTTTACCACTGAACTATATCTCTGACCTTTTAATGTTTTATTTTGAAACAGGGTCTCAATAAATTGTCCAGGCTGGCCTTGAACTTTTGATTCTTTTGCCTCAAAATCCTCCCCTGTCTCAGCCTCCAGAGTAGCTAGAATTATAGGCAGTGCCATCATGCCAAGCTATGATTTATTTTGAGTTATATTTTATGAAAGGAAGAAGGTTACTTTCCACCTTCTTCCATTCTAGGCCATACTTGTCTCCCTCTATGTAAAACACCAGTTCATCTGAAATTTTTTTGGCTAGCCTCATTGCTGCCATTCACCAAATACTCAGGACTTGCCCCTCATATGTGGTTCAAGATTTTCTTTTCACTTTAAGTCCTGCCTTCACTTTCATGACCTCTAATATCCTGATTATAACCAAATCTAATTTCCTGGGCCATCACTAATAACCTTTTTTAAAGTTTTGTTTATAGTAATCTAAATATAAGTATTAATTTTAAAAAGAAAAAGCAAACAGTTTTTGCTTATATTTGGAAACTTTCCTTTCTTTTTTTAAATTTAATTTTATTTTTTGGTACTGGTGATTGAACCAAGGGGTGCTCAATCACGGGGCACATCCCCAGCCCTTTTTTGTATTTTATTTAGAGACAGGGTCTCACTGAGTTGCTTAGAGCCTCACTAAGTTGCTGAGGCTGGCTTTGAACTCAGGATCCTCCTGTCTGTCTCAGCCTTCCAAGCCACTGGGATTATAGGCATGCGCCACCAAGCCCAGTGGAAACTTTCCTTTCAACACATAAAATCCAGAGAGTTAAAGAGACTGCCTAACGAAGGAAGATATAAAACCAATGAAGGAGAAGATGTCCCTATTTTATGTATAGTTATTATAGTCATAAAGAAAAACAAACTAAGAAAAAACTGCTTCAGGGGCTGGAAGTATAGCTCAGGGTTAATATATATGCCTAGCATACACAAGGTCCTGAGTTTGATCCCCATCACTGCAAAAGAAAAAGAAAAAACTGCTCCTGTCTTGCCAGATATGGGTGGAAGCAAGATGATGTTATGTTTTCTCACAATAGCTACAGCAAGGGCCTGACCATTAAATAGATGTTGACCCAATAGCTGTGAACAACTGATTTGCTCATACCAATGTGTATCTGCCAAGTATTTGCTCAACATGCCAGAACAGTGAAAAGTCTCAGTTCTGAAACATTCCTGAAGTTGGTGTTGGAGTTTGAAATAGCTAATTGTCCTGTGTCAACTGGCAGGATTTCATTCTGGCTGGCCATCCAGCTAGAGTACTTTAAAGATAAGGAATTTAAACCAAACTCTCCGTTTCTTGCTGTGATACCAAATGTGGGAGGTCCTTCCCTCCCTACCAAGCAAGCAATGCTGGTGCCTGCCAGATGTCCCCTAATTCAATTAGGTTCTGACATTATCTACCTGGAGACAGTATCAGATCCACCCACAGTTTAAAGACTCAGTAAGGCATGGCCACCCATGTTACTGGAATAGTAGGCCAGCAATCTAACCCAGGGAATCCCAACAAATCAAGTCTGATTTCTTACCAAGGAAACAAAAAGAAAGAGTACTAGTGAAAACCAGGAAATGAATATAGTCATATTGGGGAAGATAAATGAAAGAAAGCTTTTCAGCCCTGTCTTTGGGGGTAATGACATGAGCTTTAGGGTTAAATAGAGAAAGAATTGGGATGGGGGTGAGAAATATGCTCCTATTTGGTGTGTGTTTGTGTTGAGGGGGTTAGGGAAGGAGGTATCATCTTTGGATAATCTGCCTTCAAGACTTAGCTGTTTTAGAAGATATAGGGCAATGATTGGAGACTTCTAGGGGGTCTGAAACAAGACATTGTCAAAGCTGACAGTTGAATAGCCCTCCAAATCTTGAAAATACCTTAGTTAGTCTTGGTGTCTTCAGCATTGAAGGGATAGAGTACCAATTTTGGATGAACACTCCTTAAGTGATTAACATGTCTATGTGCTAAGCTGATCAGGAATCTAACCCAAAGTTTAAGGCAATAAGGGATACATACAAAATGAAGATAGGGATGTCAAGTCTTATCCTGCTTTAAGGTACCCATTGAGCATTTGCAGGCTGAAGCAAAGAGTCAGTGCTTTTTAGCAAAAGCAGTCATGTTAAGTTCCTGTTATAATTTTCTGTTATAATTTTCTGTTAGGATGCTGGGGATCAAGCCCAGTCCTTAAAAAAAAAAGAAAGAAAGAAAGAAAAGATAAAAAGAAAAAAGAAAGAAAAGAAAAGAAAAGAAAAGAAAAGATAAAAAGAAAAAAGAAACCCAGGTTCTCATTCTCATGCATCCTAGGCAAGTGCTCTGTGCTGCAGTCTGGCTGGGCACGAATAACTGAGCCGCCACAAAGCCATGTAGGTTCAAACAGCAACTACTTTATTTCAACTCTCACTGGCACTGCACGCGCGCTTTTCCGACACCGCCACCCATGCGGCCCTTCCAGAACCCCCACACACACCGGAAATCCCTCCTCCGGCACTTCCCCATCCAATTGGAACTCTCCAGGAATCCCCTTGAGAACTCCAAAGTAGCACGAGAACTCCAAAGTAGTGAGCACCCGAGGCAGCAAGAGCGGCCCCCATTGCCCGACAGTAAAGGTCAAATATACAATACAATCAATCCAACATCACAGCAATTATATATAGCTTAACTCAAATAATCATCTCAATGGTTCACTGGCATCACCTTTCAAACATTCCCTCTAGCAAATGCCAGGCTTCGACCGGCAGTGACTCTCAACAGCTCTGCCACTGATACACACTCCCAGTCCCATTTATGCCTTTTTAAAAAATTTTCAGTTGAAGCATAACACACACAGAAGAGCATATACATGATATAAGTATACAAACTGATGATTTTTCACAAATTGAACACATGTAACTGGCATGTATTTCAGGAAACAGAACCCTATACTCCAGAAGCCCCCTTGTTGATTCCTTCCAACCAAATCCTCCCACCTCCTGCCCCAAGTTTACTTTGGCCTGTTTTGGCATTTGATATTGGTGGACACATTCAGGTATGATGTGATACTTGAAAGCCAATACTTGAAGAGAAGGTGTTAGGGCAAGGAAAAAAATTTGGAAAATTAGCAAATCAAAGAAAATGGCAGGTTATTATCAGCACAGACCATTTTAGGGAACTCATAGATACAAAGTACTCTTTATTTTCTATTTATTATTATTAATTATTATAAGGATTTGACCTCAAGGCCTCACGTATGGTAGGCAAGTGTTCTACCACTGAGCTGCAGCCCTAAGCATTTTTTAAATGTTTTATTTTGAGACAAGGTCTCACTAAATTACTCAGGCTCACTTAGAACATGTAATCCTCCTATTTCAGCCTCTTGAGTAGCTGAAATCATAAGTGGACACCAATATTCACAGCCACAAAGGGCTTTTAAAAGGAAGGAAAGGAAGAGCAGGGGTTTAATGGGCAGGAAGGCTACATGCTGAGCAGGATCTTCATCATTCAGAGCCTGTTTTCTTTTCTGCCAGAATATTCTTGAGATATCAACTTTCATCTCCTAGGCCTGTCCTTAAAATTTCTTAGTAAGTACATTATTTCCCTGTAATTTAAACATTTTTTTCTCTTTCTTTTTCCCATTTATTTACTGGTGCATTATAATTTACATACTGGGATCTGTTGTTACATATTTATACTTGCACACAATGACTAATGTTGTCAGTTTAATTCCCCAGAACCTTCCTTTTCCCTCCTCCTCCTTCCCCCTGGACACTTACCCTGTTCTACTGGTCTCCCTTCTATTTTTATGATATTCTTTCATACCCAGAATCATTTTTTAATGAGTTATTCACCAATATCTCTATTTACACACAATCCCTCAGAGATCACTTTGTAAGGGTAAAATTTCTAAGCTGTTTCTAAACTGCAAAGCCTGAGTTAAAGTGTAAAAGACCGGGCATTGTAAAGTTTCTAAGCTGCAAGGCCTGAGTTAAAAAGTAAAGGACCAGGTATTGTTAAAATTCCTCTGCTACCTCTAAAACCTGAAATTCCTGTAGCTGTTAGGACAATACCTGAACTGCCCAGTAAATATTTCCACTGACTCCCTGGTTGTCTAATAACCTGGGACTCTGTGTAGTTTGTCACATAGTCCTTTAGGCCCTAAAACCAATCAGTTTGAATGTGTACCCCGCTTAGAAGTGACCAATCACCTCTGCCCAGCCTGTTCCTGCCAATGAATGTACTAATCATGTCTCAGAGTTCTTGTTCAATTTTCCCGTGCCTCATGATGATTTGTTCTGATGTATGCAAAGCCCCCCCCCCTTCCCAAAAAGTGTACTTAAGTTCTGCTTGACCTCTGCTCGGGGCTCTGGGCCGCTCTCCCTTCCTGAGTGAGCCTTGAGCCTCAGCGCGCTGAATTGGATCCTAAATAAACTCCCTCCTGCTTATTGCATGAAGCCAGTCTCTTCTGGTCTCTTCCTCCGACGCTTCACTGGACCCTTACAACTTAACACATGTAGTGGTGACAAGGTTTTTTAAATAAATAAAGAAATAAAATCCTTGTCCCAAGCCAACTTTTGTGCTGAATTCTTCCAGAACTTTCTCCCACACCCCT